GATGGAACCTGGTTTTCCACTTTAACAGATTCCCTCCGGGGCCCAGGGAAGCAGGAAGGCCCGCTGGTTCTGGGAGTTTGGTTGGGAGGCCTCTTCCTTCCTGGGGTGTGGAATGACCCTCCTGACAGCCTCAGGCCAATCAGGCTGGACATGCAGCACAAGATGTGCATATTCTTCAGCCTGATCGTCGGAGACGGTGCTGGCACCTTCCCCGGGATGGGCAGCCGGTGTGGGCGAGGAGGGGCCACAGGCCAAGCCCGGCACGCTCAGGGGAGGCCTCTGGCGGCTGGACACACTCAGACCGAGCAACCAACCGCACAGGATGGTCGGAAACGAAAGCTTTCTCGCTAGAAGCGAGCCATGTGGGTGGTCATGTCCTGGCCCCGCACCTTCCCTGACAGAGGCCAGTCTTGCCTGGACGGAGCCTGTCTGTGGCCTTTTGCATCTGGGACCCCAGGCCTTTGGAATGCCGGGGTCATTCCCTTTTTCCTCAGGCCCCAGCCGAGACCACCAGCCCCTCGTTGTTCTTGTCATCCGTTCGTTGTTCACTGCGAACTGCCCTGCGTCCACCGCGTGAGAGACGTCTGTGTCTATCCCTTCACTTTCCGTCCAATCCACAGGTTCCCCGCTGTGCTCGCTCCGCCTCCCTACTCTGTCACCAGTGGATTTCCTGTCACCCCCTTGACGGTCATGTATTAAATAAGGTGCAAAACTGTCACCCTCTAGAGCAGTGGTTCTCAACCTTCCTAACGCCGCGACCCTTCCATACAGCTCCTCATGTGGTGGGGCCCCCCAACCATAAAATTATTTTCGTTGCTACTTCATAACTGTCATGTTGCTACTGTTATGAATCGTCATGTAAATATCTGATATGCAGGATGTATTTTCATGGTTACAAATTGAACATGATTAAAGCATCGTGATTAATCACAAAAACAATATGTAATGATATATGTGTTTCCGATGGTCTTAGGCAGGGGTCCTCAAACTTTTTAAACAGGGGGCCAGTTCACTGTCCCTCAGACCGTTGGAGGGCCGGACTATAGTTTAAAAAAAACCTATGAACAAATTCCTATGCACCCTGCACATACCTTATTTTGAAGTAAAAAAACAAAACGGGAACGAATCCAATATTTGTATTTGCATGTGACCCGCGGGCCGTAGTTTGAGGACCCCTGGTCTTAGGCGACCCCTGTGAAAGGGTTGTTCGACCCCCAAAGGGGTCGCGACCCACAGGTTGAGAACCGCTGGTGTAGAGGATTATCCCAATCCGTTGAGATTTTGCTTCCCAGCAATTGTTGACAGTTTGGCTCAAATAAACGCAAAAAAAAAATTCTCTATGGATTTGGACGCTCCTCACGTTGACGTTGGCGAGAAATGACGCGCGTGGGTGGGAGGGCCAGGAACAGGATGTGGGGGCACCAGCTAGTGTTGCATGAACATGAATCACTCTCCGTGAACGTGGTGGTTATTCTGATGAAGGAAGGCACATTCCACCCGGCTGCCGCTGACCCGGAGGGGCGGCCCTTCCTCCCCGCGAGGAGCTGCCTGTTGTCAAGGGATGATGAACAAAGATTAGTTACAGGAACCAGGGTCGCCAGCCCTTCGAGGGTCCCCGGCCCTTTTTCCTACCCGCAGGCCTTTGCAGACCTCCAGCCGGCTCACCTGGTAATTGACTCCCTTTGGCCATTTCCCCATGAAGCCCCGGCCCTTGCATGTCACTCAGCCCTTTGAAGACCCCTAGTCCCTTTGCATATCTGTAAACTGCCCTTTTGCCTACTTTCCTTTGTACTTACACCTATACTAGAGGCCCGGTGCACGGATTTGTGCACCGATGGGGTCCCTCAGCCTGGCCTGCGCCCTCTCACAATCCAGGACCCCTCGGGGGATGTCGGACTGCTGGTTTCAGCTATAAAAGTGCACTGACCACCAGGGGACGGCTCCTGTGTTGAGTGTCTGCGCCCTGGTGGTCAGTGGATGTCATAGCAACCAGTCGACCGGTCCTCTGCTCGCTTAGGCTTTTATATATGTAGACTAGAGGCCCGTGCACAAAATTCGGGTCCCTAGGCCTGGCTGGCGATCAGAGCAATTGGGGCCTTCTGGCTGCCGGCCGGGACCTTCCTTTGTTCCGCACCAGCCCCCTGGTGGTCAGCGCACGTCATAGCGAGCAATCGAACTCCCTGTCTCCCGGTCGAACTCCCAGGGGACACTTTGTATATTAGCCCTTTGTAATATAGATAAGCAGCCGGCTTACGATGGGCTGCAGAGCAGACTTTCGTGGATGCCCTGCTGCTCTCCCGTGCTGCCAGCAACATTAGAATAAACGCTCAGGTGTGGTTCAACCCTGTCTCTGCTCAATTGGCTCAAGTAGTGACAGGCAGCGCGGACCCACTGTGTGTGTGGTTACACTGGGACAGCTTCTCTCAACCCCGCGTGTGTACAAAGCCCGGGGGGCCAGGGCCTCTGAGAAAGCGCTTCACAGGCTCCGCTTTTCCTTTTGTTTGGTTGTTGGACGTCTTATTGTCCCCTCCCCTGCGGACGAGGGAGTCTGCCTGTGAACACAGTGTCCGGCTCAGAAAGAGCAGGGCCCCCCTCTCCCCGCCTCACCTCCCACCCCCTGCAGCCCGTCAGAACCTCTAGCCCGTCTTCTGTAAAATGGGCACAGCCAGGGTGTCCCCAGGGAAGGCTGTGAGTAGCCCTGACCGACACAGAGCAGGGCGTGGGTCACGGAGGGCGTGGGGGCCGGGCAGGGGCCCCCGATTCCCAGCTTCCAGTTCTGCAAACTGTGACATGCCTTCTCCTGCGAGGACGGTAGCTTCTGCCTCGGGGCACCCGCTCACCCCGCCCACAGTGCACCCAGTTCTTCCGGATGGAAACCTACCCCCCTTTTCCCAGGAGGCCTCCGGACCCTGGTCCCGGCCGGACCCTCTGCTGGGAGCTCTCAGAGCCAAGGCCCGGCCTGGGACTCCCTGTGCCCCCGTGAGCTCTGCGGGGCCCTCATCTGTCTGCCTTTGCGCGTGGGTGGGGCCCCTGCCTGCCTGGCCTGGCACACGGGAGGCCTCCGTGGACGTGAGTTGCAGGACTGGCTGCATTCCTGTACTTCTCCGAGGCCGCTGCCCCTCTCTGGCCTCAGTTTCCCCATCTGTACGGGGGTGGAGCGAGCTGCTCTAGGTTCCGGGATCTCTCTGCGCCAAGTCCAAGTTCCCTCCCCGTCTCCCCCGCTGGCTCTCATGCTCTGTCCACACGTCTCCATTGTCCTGTATTGTCCTTGGAGTCCCCCCGCCTGTCCCCCCACGCAGGGTCCTCGGCCACCATCACGCCCAGCTGCCCGCTCAGCGTGGCTGGTCTCTGCCCCCAGGAGTGGACTTCACGAATCGCTCGGATGGGCCTGTTTCCACTGACCTTCTCCCCTCCTTTCTGTATTTTCCGCTTTGGACTCGGTGTGACGCCCCTTGTTTATGTTG